CAAGTTAAGGCCTGGTTGGAGGATGGAGTAACTACAGTCAACTACGAACCCACCCCAGTAAATCTTGCACTCTTGGCTGCTGTAGACCAGTTCAACTCAGATGGGACACTGGATAAATTTCGAGCGTGTTTGGATATGAGCCCAATCAATGCGATCATTCCAACACAAATTTTTCTCCTACTGAGAATAAACAAATTGCTGAGGCGAATATAAAGAGCTGAGATCTCATCCACCATCAATTTGAATTTAAGCTACCACCAGATGAAGATATACAAGCCGAATAGGAAGTAGTTCACGTCTATCTGGGATGGGCAACAACTTTCGTTTACGGGGGCACCACTTGGTTAGCACATGATACCAACATACTTCCAACAGATCATGCAGGATTTTTTTTCAAGACATGGATAGCGTACAAGTATACATTGACGACATCGTCGTATTTACGAAGACCAAAGAGGGACATGGCAAAGATGTACGCAAGGTCTTAGTCAGATTAAAAAATAAGATCAACAGCAAGAAGTGTCAAATTGATGTTTACGAGATTCAGCTGTTGGGCTACCGGGTCTCCGGTGAAGGGATCATGATTGATCCCGGAATAACCAGATTGAAGAATATCTATCACTGGCAAGAACGTGAACATCGCGTGCGGTTTTGTCAACTTTCTATCGGTTGAGCTCCACATTTAGCGAGTTAGCTTAAGCATTTTGGACACCTGAGATGTCACAAAGGTAAAATTAGGAGCTTTTTGGACAAAGAAGTGTGATGATGCCTTTAAGCAGCTCAAAACAGTCGTCACACAAGCACCAGTAACTCAGCCACCACAGGACTGTATACCGTTCATAATAACTACAGTCGCGTCAGACATGGCACTTGGCGGCGTACTGTGTTATCAAATGATTGATGAGAAACCGAGATACGTGCAGTTCTTCAGTAGGGCTATGAACTCATCACAGATCAACTACCTAAACAACAAGAGGTTTTAGCTATTGTGACTGCACTCGCTCATTTTAAGGACTACTTGCATGATACACACTTTAATGTACTATACGATCAGAAATTACTGCAACATCTAAAGAACATGAAACCAGACTCGCAGTTAGTCAGTCGGTGCATGACACAATCGCAAAATTTTCATTTGGCATAACACATATAACTGGTATACGCAATCACTTACTAAATAAATATGTTGTCACGCTCTGTATCGGACTTTAATGAGATGTTTCGGGATATACTAGCTCCGGATTGGAAGGGCAAACCTAGATGGTTTAAGATAGCAGACAATATCTATCGTCCACATACCATAGATATGCTTGCAGTTCATCGTAATGCGCAACTGCCGCGATATCGAACTTTGGAACATCCATAAGGTGATGCGTTTCACATCGACTTAACTGATGAGAAAAATCCACCGTGGTTGTTGATATCACAGTTGCTACACTATGCTCACATACAGGATGCTACCATCACGTTGTATTGTCCCTTAAGATATTCAGATAAAGGGCTCAACCAGTTGATCTCGATGATTCATTGTGAGCCAGTATATGTGGTTAGAATGTCAGATACTTTCCTTTTCCAGGGTACCCGTGCAGTCGAGAAGACGACTTGGCGATATACAATAATATAATAAAATATCGAATAGGTCTAGCTGGAACGACCAAGATGACACAATCTGAGACCTTTAAACGTAAGGTTGAAGAATCCAAGATTCCACTCTTGACACCTGGGTCTCAATCAGAGACCTAGACAACACAAGCACTTGTAGTATGCGTTTCTGATGTACGATCTGATTCCACAGAATCTAAGAGGAGCGAATCGTTAGCGAAGGCCTTTTACAAGACGATACGTTCCGACAGAGCAACTGCTTGCGAAGTCGAGAATAGGTTACTTAAACAGCTGATGAATAACTTCCCAGATGTTTACGAACATATAACCCGATCAATGAATAAACCAAACATTAGCTTCTAGCGAGATCGGACGAGAAGAGTCTTCCATAAAAGAATATTTTGGTTTTGCTACATATGAAAAAGGACAGAACCGGAATCAATCAAGCATGGTGCTAGTAGTATCATAATCGAGTTGCACGGTGCCTTGAACGAGATGAGTGAAGCTATGAATATCTTCGTAATTAAATGGATAAAGATACCAACACTGGCTCATGGAATGGATCGACAGATCTGTGTTACAGACCCCTTGCCTAGATCCATGAATAAGGACTCATGTGAAGCGTATGCCAGGTTAAAGATTGACGAAAATGAAGACTATAATATAACCGAGTGCTACCGTGAGTGTCCTACAGGTGTTTGTGAGAAATGCGTATATTGCGCAGCCTTGATGTTGACGATGACGAAAGGTGGGGACGCGAGAATCCAAATGAGCAAATGTATATCAACATGGACAATGGACTGTGTACGAGCCAGGTATGTATTATATTGTACTTTTGCGATGCATTCACTTGTCGCAATTTTGCAAGTTCACCCACTTCGGAATCATTTGTTTTATAGTTTATTAAAATGCAGCCTCAGCAATGGCAGGTGCCTACCGGCGTTGTAGCGCTGAATATCTTCATACTACTGTATATAATGGGTCATCGAGAAGCCAGCAACGCTAGCTCATCGCATGGATCAACATTATAGGCAAACCCAATCCTGCTAAGAAGAATCGCTCACAACAATACCCGAATAGCTCATCATATACCGCAGCCTGAGAATGAACTCACTCAATAAAATTTATAACAGCCACTAACATAATCTCAAACAATTCTACACGTAAACCCTTTCACAACTCAGTGACAACCACTATCAACAAGAAATGATACTATACATCCACAAAACCAGACTTCGCATAAAAAGCAACAGCCACCTATCAAGAAACTTCGAGTTAACTTGAGTGCGCATGAATCTCACAGAGCCGGTTATGAGTAATTGGACTACATACACAAGCACGAACCACTGGCATTGAAAGGTACAGATGAAGAATTGAACAAATTGAGGCTCAAGCACTGGTGGCTTATAAACGACGTCTAGACGAGGAAGAAATTATTGATGACATAGACTCTCAAAGCTAAATAAATGCTATAAGATCCTTTTCTTTTATCTACCTGTGTTCATATAAAATGTGTCTATTGATTAACATCTCTACGACCATTGCAAAATATAATTGGTAAGATATAAGCATACTTCCACTGCTATGCAAAAGAAATGTAGGTTTACCAACCTTACCTCTCGTGAAAGCACGACGAAGATATTCACTCGCCGATTGACACGTTCTATATGCATTCGTACCCCTGCTATATTTTTCAGGGTCACATTTTGAATGCTTGTGAATTGCCCGACTGCTAGCAACCGTGGCGGTATATTGCATGTCATAATTTCCGGTAGTAGTTTTTCAATTTCAAATTCTCTATCGCCCATAACAGAACATCTTCTGGGTTATTTGTCAAACAATCCTTTATACATGCCTGTGCCAGCTACAGGTCACTGATGCGGCCAGGATACAAAGGTGATTCATAAGCACAATGACCTGCTACTGACATAGCCACTAATTGTTTGGCTACACTGTGCTGTTTATATTTACTACTTGAAGCTGTTTGGAATGATTAATATCACCAATTTCTATGAAAATTATATTGCATCTACTAGAATGGCAAGACCTGAATATTCCTCCCGAAAACAAAGAAACCGCAAACCATCTGTTATATCTGAACGTAGTCGATGCATAGGGTCGTACGCTGGATGTGCAAAGAAAGAAAGTAGGGCTTAATTCATATCCCGTAATATATTTCAACTGGATGTGTGCATTCGATTCCGAACATATGCCCTACAACCTGTACCTCTTCATCATGTCTGACTTTGACGAACCACATTAGAAGTGCATCATCAAATGACTTTGTGCGTGCTCCTGGATATTAATAGATGAGATTACTGGATATTATCTTAAAAAAATCAGCATATTTCCGGTGAGGTTGGCAACTAGTCCGAAACATTAAGTTTGTCTCTGTTTCAATCAAAATATATTTGTGCGATAGCATAGCAACATGCAAAGTTTCACGTATTCGTTTACTAGCCGACGCACGCCGTGTTTCCATATCCCTCATTGCTAGTTCAGTCTCTGCGGCTTCCAACTGTTCTCGGAGTGTTCGTATTGTGGTGTTATCCTGTTTACGTATGCTTTCGATCGTAGCATCTCGTTTCGCGATTTTAGCGATCGAACTTGCCAATGCCTATCGCTATCCCTGAAGCTCTTGATCTTTCTCTGCACCAGATGGTATTCTGTATTTATCTGTGACGTTGCGCCGCTATTACGTGAGCCATGACGCAGTAAGGGTGCCCAGGTGCTTACAAGTGGTCTCTGTACACGTTCGCTGCTAATTCAAGTTGCGTCTGATGAGCATCCTCCTTGCGTTGATGACTTACGACGTGTGCATAATATATTTCTTCAGTCATGGGCACCGCATTAAAATAGAGTGTCTTGACCTTACCACTACAATTTAAGAACTCCTCACGTATGTGTTCTGTTTATCACATAAAAATAGTAACTTATTGTATTCAACCTCAAACCGCTGTTGCATGGTTCGTTTATTACATCGTCCTAATCGCTTCATCCAGACCATAAATCGATCTTAACGCCTATACGGGACACGCCGCCCGGGGGTTTGTGCACTAATTTCATCACTACAGTATTCTGCGTTACAACGTGTCGTACTGCGACTGAATGAGCGACCATAAGGTATGTTTGCCGCAGCCAGCTTAAAGTGTGCATACATATGTGTAGTGCACGTGTGGTAAAATTGATCATATACGACAAGTTACGCTTGGAAGCGGTTTTGGAAATTTGTTATAAAAATATATATTTCTCAGAGGTCTATTGATAACATCATCCAATACGCGCAACAGTATACGAACACATCGGAGACGGTATCCTTGAAAACTACTAATGGCACCGCTAACTTGCGAGCTAACCTTGCTTAAGTACGAACCCTTTTATTTAGTGAGAGTTTATCGCTACTTAATTTTGTAGGATCCGTAGTCCTTCTGCGGATCGTACTCCTCCCAATTGCTGGTTTAATAGAAGAAACAAGATTTTAATTAGTAGGAAGGTTGATGTGACGGAATTATAAACGAAGGACGACAAGGAGTGAGCACGTTGGTAACTCAATTGACAATGCTCAGCAACAATAAATGTCGGGAGCAAATCGCTCCTACCTTGCCGGGAAGATGTGTTTGTTTTTGTCGAACCAGCTGCGTGTGACTATTTTACCAGCGTGAGTCTGTCATTAAAGAGGGTTTTTAACAAAAAGGGGTGAGCTGAAACACAAAACACAAATGCTATTTGCGGAACAGCTGTAGTAGTATCAGGAAATAGAAAATCTTATGGGCGGATCAATGGCATCGACATAGCAACAGAACTTTCGACAGAATCGTCTCACCCACACATAGCGTATCAGATCAATACTACCTCGTCTTTCTCTACTGTGGCATCGGAAACCATACGTATATCATCGTGCACATCGAATTTGAATAGCGGCCCAGACTTCCCGCGCGCTTTATTGATGATAAATTCGTAGAAGGTAAAATGCTGCACGAAGAAGAGGCAGGCTAGATGTTAGGAAAATAGTATCCACAGTTAAACAGCACAGATCAAGCAAAACCGTTGCATTTTCCCTGGAAACATATCTGATCGAAAGCAACCTTGTGTGTACATTGATTTTGGTATTTCAATGTTCAAACCACTGCTACAATGCTTTGCATATTCTGAAGTTCAGATTTAAAAATTATGACAATTCAGTATTCGCGGATAAAAGGATACAAACATGATTTCGAACTGAGGAGTTCTACACCCAAATTCAATGTGAGACATACATGAGCAATTATTAAATCCTCTTTGATATACAGGAGGCTGTCCACAGATATCGACCGCAGATCATGAAATTCGTATCTCAACGTTTCCAGGCATTTCTCTAGAAACTTCCTGATCGAGTCACCCTTCTTGACCTACGAAGCAGTGGATTAGTGTCAGCCATCAGCGCTAAATGACGGAAACATACTGCAATATAATGAGCTTTAACAAGATCAGTGGCAAAATTATGCGAGACACACAACGTGAGAGAAGGATCGAGAGTGACATAGGGACGGTGCTTATGTACAAAGGCGTTCATGTTCGCTAAAGAACCATATATCAAATCCAGCCTAATCTGAACATTCATCAGTCTGTCAAGCACAATTTCTCATGGCATGAAACATGAGTGGCCATACCTGTACTACTCGGCGATGACCACCGCCGTCCCAGTAACTGTAAGTTATACTAATAGGTTCGTCTTGTATTTTTTTTTGTTTCTCCAGCCAAGTCTTCGCAAGTTTCTCACGAATGCCATTCTCTATATCCTCTCGTTCTTTATCGGGCAGGAATGATGTATCAACGGACGGATCCTTCTTCGCTTTCTTACTGCTCACAATAATTCGTTCTGCTGAAGCCCCCGCGAGTTCCTCGTCATCGCCATCCTCTGGGTTGATCGGTGGTGTGGGAGTACTATTAAAGCAACAGTAGGACAGCTACACAATTCCCACAAGGATACAACAACACTTAAGGGACCAAAACTTTTTGTTTTGCGCTAGGAGAGAATCTACTCGACGTGCGGATAATTGGAAATCTAAGTTGCACACACACAGAACACATGCACATGCCAAGCACACGTTTGAATACGGTGGGTTTAGAAATGCAATCTATACGATAACTTTCGATCGAACGGGTCTCATGGACCTATCGGTTTTGCCTTCATTCGATACGCCGTGCGAGACACAACACAGAAGAATTCTGATAGACTCAGAGTCGGTGGACTCGCTCACGTAAAACACAACTGCCCCGGGGAGCGCTTATATCATCTCAAAGGCACAACATAGCAAATGCAAGGCAATTCAGCGAGACATCCAGAATAGTCAAACCCACAGTATATTGAGACAGGTATCACAGGGCACACTAACTTTCAGCCTACCATCGTGGTCGAATGACAACACTGTGGTCCGCTTCTGTTCCTTTCGCCGCCTCTTCCTGTCTTCTCTGTGAACGAGGATGCAAGATAGAAGGCTCGAGACAAATCGTTTACAGTTCATAGCTCAAATATGCATAAGTCGCGAATCCGTTAGAAGCACCAGGCGTGATCGCAAGGGAGCTAGTAAATAGCAAATTGGTTCAAAGGAAGGGCTATAGTTGAAGCCATCGATAAATTAGTTCCAGCCAGGATGTTTCTATTGCATTCTAGTTGGGAATTAGTTGCGCATACTTTTTTTTCTGTGCCAATCTCTCTTTCACCTCTCTTTCTTCCCGTTCTTTCTCTGCCTCAATCCGCGCACGAGTGTTCTTGAAATCATTCAGCTTTACCAGGCCCACCGTGCTCTGTGTCATTTGCGATGCGGTCCAATCTATGGTAGACTGAAACTTCGTCTTCATGTCTTTCAACCCAGTTTTATTAGCCTGGTATTAGAAGGAGGATGCACACTTCCAAATTAGCCACGGATTTCATTAGTTCCGGGTACATCCTGGATCATATATGCCCGCCACTTTGACCATTTTCAATTGACATAATTATATATGCGTGTATGAACTATACCATAGCAGTATATGTGGTATTTTAGACAGCAGATCGGAGGCTCATTCTCTTTTAAATATAGGCACGTATCCGCAGAACGGGTAGAAGAAGTCGGTTGGCATGTTATTGTACAACACATGTGTATCCAAAAACGAATACTATATAGCTGTGCACCTTAATATGGCATACAAAAACACAGACACACACATGTATATATACACCGAAATGAGTAATTTACATATATAAGTCGATAACACACACAGACACAGACACAGACACAGACACACATATGTATATGTACACCGAAATGAGTAATTTACATATATAAGTCGATAACACACACACACACACACAGACACACATATGTATATAAACACCGAAATGAGTAATTTACATATATAAGTCGATAACACACACACACACACACACATAGACACACATATGTATATATACACCGAAATGAGTAATTTACATATATAAGTCGATAACACACAAACACACACACATATATATAATACAAACAAACAAACAAAAACACACGCACACACACATATATATACATAATACAAACAAACAAACAAAAACACACGCACAAACATATATATATACATAATACAAACAAACAAACAAAAACACACGCACACACACATATATAAACGTATACGTGAAAAACGATACATTCACACACCAATACACTCACGGGCACACATACGCACATACACATATATATAAACATAAAAATGTAAAACGGTACACAGACACAGACACACACTCACACGCACATCTATTATATATATATGTATATATATATATATGAGTAAATAAATATACATATTTGAGACACACATACACAGACACACATATATATATATATCACATACGGACATACATACATAAATAGATGAATACATAAATGCATACATACATACATATACACACACACATACATACAGACCTACAAACATATATCCATACAAACATTCATTCATACATACATACATGCATACATACATACATATATATACTTACATAATATATATATATATATATATATACCTACATACTTGCAAATATCCTAATAAAAATGAATACATTAATTCGCATGTGAGCGAGAATATACATATATATATATATATATAAATATAAATGAACATCGAACTTTTGTATTTTTACAGAAGGATACAAATAGTATTACATAGGTGCATTTCCGGCACTAACTCGATTGTCGATAGAGCATTTTCAGCACAGGCAAAGTGTCCTTCGACCCGGAAAACACCCTAGGAAGAATACAAAATCACAATTGACCGATATCTTCAGTATCTTCACGCCATATCGCATCCGTTTATCTCTAACAAGCGCATATTGTCACACACACACTAGTGCCATACCATAGTGATGACCACTCACAATCGTTAGCTAGAACCACACGCATAACAGTTGCCACACATATCTTAAAAATAACTACACACACACCTTAGTAATAATCACTCACACACCATAATGTGAAGCACACAAACCATAATCATAGCCAGTCACACAACTTAGTGATGACTGTACACATACCTTAGAAATTGTCTCGCGTTGCCTCTCCGCGTCCAGCGATGCAGCTTCGCGTCGTTTAACAAGCATCAAGGCTCTGTCGGCCTCAGAACCGGCCCCCTTATATTCCGCCATAGTTGTACGGTAAGTTTACCTTCTAAGCGTTTAGGCTATCGGTTCAATACTGTAAATGATCAATATATACAGCTTGTGTCAGGTCTGTATCTGTAACCATTTAGATATGTATTTAAATACGGCTATATATACCATCATAGCACCCACGTTTATACTTAATACTATTTACATCACATATAAAAACCTTCGGCTTCGCGCCTGCGGCATATTGTATAAACTTTTTTACTCTGTGTTTTTGTAAAAATAAAATGAAATAAAAAAAGTTTAGAAAAATTACTGTAAAATAAAATAGATGATTTCAGCTGATGTAATTAGAATAAAAATCTTAAATTTGAATATACATATTTTACGTACATACGTACGTCTAGATTGTATTAATCCCCACATACACAGGTTGATGAGATACTGCACCAAACATTTGCAGCTTGCCCAGCATTTCAACATACGAGCGTTGGTCTACGGTAATCTGTTAATACTTACTGCCTAAACATTCTTTGTATCTGAAAAGGGTATTTGGTTGTTAACGATACTTGTATTGTAATTGTACTTGAATAATACATATGGAGACGAGTGTCATTTGATTTTATTTACGCAAAGAATGGACGTATTTGATTCCGAGTCCGATCAGCAGTTGGATTTGGCAGAGAGAGAGGAGGTTCTAGGTGAACTCGAGAAGACTATCAACAACCTAGCACAACAGGTAGAAAAAGCTCCACCGGACAGTGAGAGTATATCACACTCTCACCCCGACTCCATAAATGGTGGACTATTACACAGTAATGTAAATGATGCACTCGAAGGGAGGCTATCACCTGGGGAAAGGGATGTGAGGAGAGGCAGTGGGAATGCTTCGCCTCGAATAAGCACTATTAGCAGGTTGAAGCGGAATACCAGGCTATATTTGGAGCCATGGGTCAGGGTCTGGTTGTTGATATCTGGTGTACTGTATG